CAAATGTCCAAAATCAGCCATTCACCAATATCAGATGAAGACTTTCTCTTCTGTTTTTATAAAGTTATTTATTAGAGTACAATTTACTCTTTACTTTTTATACCAAATTACAGTATCTGGAAATGGCATGCTGAGGTGCCCATAGCGTAGGGATTATGGGATTGTGGAAAAAATGAAAATGTTTTGCCTTTTTAAAATTCCTTTAAATAACAATTATCTCAATATTTGTCTAAGACAGTAACTCATCTTAAAACATGATTCGGTTGGGAGCAGTCAGCCAGCTGAGTCAATCTGAATCCTTCTGCACCAGTGACTGTCCTTGCAGAAGTGTCCTAGGTTTGTAAGAGTTAAACAGGCCAAGAATTGCATCCCCTTTTTTGAATCCATTGGTTGGCTAGGGGGCAGCAGCTTTACAATTAAATTATTCACAAGATCCATTAGCTCTGTATAATCTAAGCCATGCTACTTTTCCCTCTGATGATTATGCCATTATTATTTCTTCACCCTTTTCCTGGCATAGTAAAGCACATTCCTCTAGAGCATAGCATTATCTGCAGCAGATGCTATGGTGCACTTTGTTATTGCTTCTTGTTAGGCTATCCTATGTCAATTAACATCCCTTTAATGTTTAAAAAAATGTAAATTCCAGTCATATGTTACCAGGGTTTATTCAGTCATTTAGTAAAACGAAAAATTAACGACCTTAGATTTATTTGAGATTAGATCTGCTTGTCTTTCTTGTGTCCTATACAAATACCTTAACAGAGGTGTAAAAGTATGAGAAAACATTTACTGTACAAACTTTAACCTTCTCTGCCTTAATGATGGAATACTTCGGTTATGTTAAATAAGGGTAAATGGCCTTTCTCAACTGCTAGATGTAATGTTGTTTTATATATTTCAAATGTTGATTCATAAAAACAGGGGACTGGAAATAGTGAGCAATATTTCTATGATTATAAATTGCTTATTTTCCTTAACAGTTATTGATTGTTATGTAAGCATACAGCACATTTATCCAGATTTCGCCCTTGGCCAAATGTGAATTCAGTGTCCCTGTTGCTCCAGGGATTGATGCCACCTACGACGCCACCAGCTGTGACAGCGTGCAGCTCTTGGGTTTGGCTTTTAATACACAGCACAGCCAGCCAGGCCAGTGACAGTCAAAAATCTTTTGTTTCTCCTGGCTGAGCAGTGTAATTTTAACTCCAGAGCCAAAGCATTATCACCAGACGGTGTAAGATGGAGAGGGCGTGGAGATCACCATTTATTCCACAGTGCAAAATGCTTTCTTATTACCTCATCTCCCACACCGCTGTGTAATAAATTACTGCTCTCTGTGTGGCACGCACACAACGCCACTCTATTAGTCTGCTGTTTTCCTGAATCCCGGCACTGTTTGCGTTGCTTAATGGACCCAAGATGCATTTACAAAAAAACAACACAGGCTTCTTCAATTGACCTTATAAGGGCACCAGTTCAATTATTCCCTCACGATTATTATTTTTTGTCATTAACATTACCTTATGAAGTGTATGGTTGGATTTGTGATTAATCAATTTCTTTTATTGATTCACATAACAAAGAGAGCTGCTTTCTTTATTGTGAAGCAACCTAAACATGTTCATAACACAGTCCCTTCAATTAAGGAATGAATGAATGACAAGGAGTTCATAATAATCACTAATAGAGTAAGTTGTGTCAAATACTCTTATTAGTTCAGGACCACTGTATCAATAATTGCTGTGGTAATCAATTGCAAAATTAGGCACAGGAACTTAGTACATACTAAAATGGATTTGGTATTAATGTTGTTTTTTATTGGAATTCTAAAAAGATGTAAGGTGATTCAGTGTCATCTTTGTAGATATACTGTAGGTGAGTGATAAATACCAGATTACAGTTATATATTCACATATTTTGAAGTCATCATTTATGAAAGACAAGTTCTGAATGTGGCTGGTGCACTAGATTGTTATTCTGCAATTGGTCCTTTCACCATATGAGCTGGCAACCTCAGTAGGAAACTGAGCGATAAATGCCATAGTGCTTGTCTCATGACATCTTTAATATAGAAGGACACCAGCTCTCTCAATAAGAGAGCAGTAATTTATTAACAATCTGTAACCTTTTCCTTGCTCGGGCAGTACTGTACGGGCTGACAAATGGTTTGTGAAGTAGCATGATGTTCCCTTATTATAATACCCTCTTTGCTTAAACCAAAAACAAGATCCAAGGTAATTTCACATGCACTAAAAAGATTGATGAAGCAGTCTGCCTCGGCAGCTTGCAAATGTTTGGGCAGATAGGGGATGGCATTGAAACCTTATTAAATGAAAAGACTGTTACAGTATGTGTGTGTGTGTGCTTGTGCTGGGGGGTGAGTTCTTGTCCTGTAACAAGAAAGAGTTTCTTCAGTATATCTATCACTTTAATATGCCTTCTCTTATAGCTTCGAGATTTCTGACCTGTGATTAGGCTTTAATTATCAAAGTTTTATGCAGCAGAGTCACATAGCATGGATTTCTGCTTCCTCAAGTTTTTTTTTTCTTTAACCTGAGCCACCCTCTGTTCATCTGCACCTTGTAAATCAGTCAGGCTTTGCCGAAAGGTCAAATGCAAGGTCACAGAGTGACTGATCACAATATACAATATCTTATTGCTTTGCAATCCCATGATAAGCATGTTATGATTAACCTCAAAACAAGAAAAAACAAAACAAAACTGGTTATGAGAATGCATTGACTGTGTGTAATAAAAGTAAAAAACCTTTTGTTTGATATGCCTTATGTTAGATATAGGGCAGCAATTAAAAAAAAAATTTAAAAAATCTAAATAAAAGAAAATTAGTGCTTTTACATATTAATGTTTTTCTTCACATAGTTTTACAACTAGATTAGTAAGTACATTAAGGTCATAGCATGTGACTTTGCTTTCATTTTTTACGGACATACTTTTGCAAGGTGCTACAAGTTGTGTAATTATTTTTAAAATAATTTTGAGGGAAATCTGGCTAAAACTATTTCTATTTTGTAAAGTTATGGGGGTTTATTTATGAAAGATATTTTTAATCAAATCATAGTTGCAAAACTTTTCCCACCTTCACAGTATTTTTTCTAACATCTGACGTCCGTTTTCTTCTCTCTTTTTTGTGTGCTGAGGCAGCTTGCACTGCATCTGGTTTTAACTTCTCAAATTAGTCTGTAGCTTTGTACTCTAATGTTAAAAGACTCCCTTCAGCATAATTCTCAGTGTTTGCCAGAAGATTCAGCCATCAGCCTTAATGGGCTGATGATTGCTTAAATACTGCCTCACACTTTTAGATCAGTGCTCTGCCCATGTTATTTGAAGATAAAGAACAAGCTTATTTCATGTATATCCTATAGAAGTCAGGTTTATCCTTTCTTTCTTATGAAGATGCCTTAGCATTTTTGAAGCATAAGAACGTAAAAGATGGTCTTGCATTTCAGATTTCAGCTTAATTCCCACAAATGTACATTTTGCACAAATATATTTAAAAAGTTTTAAATGTTTAAGGCAAAAATTATTATTAGTTATGATTTCTCTATCTTTTGGAAGTTTAATATTAGAACATTAAAAGGTTGCAGGAACTGCAGGTTTTAAGATGTGTTCTCAGTTTGTTTCTGCTTGTTTTACACATTTTAGGCTTTAAAAACTGCAACAGAAATATTTAGTGCATCATGTGGCAAAAATGTGTCACAAAAGCCAGTCACATCTTAACAACAGCTCCTATTTCAACTTATTGTACATTATAGTCTGTATAATACAGAGTGCACTAAGGGGAGAAATGGTAAAGCTTCACCATGCAAAATTATTAAAATGGGATTTACAAAACAATTTGCCCTGATACGGTTTAATTTACAGTTCAAACTCCAGAGTAGTTACTGTGTTCAATGAGGTACATACAGTTTGAGGACTAAGCTGGGATGCGAAACCAGCTCTTTTAGCATCATAGGTCTTGCACAAGCAAAAGGCAAGATGTAAAATATGTTGTGAGAAAACCTTTTTTTTCCGAAGAGCATTCACAGTAATGTTTGTCTATGCCGGAGTACTCCGTGAACATTGCTTTTCAACAATTCAACCTTGTCAGGATGTCTGCTCGTCTGCTCAGCTGAGCAGTCCTTTTAGAACACTGTGCAGCCGCCATTGACTCATTCATACAGTATGTGTAAATCCCTTTGACACGAGATGAATAGACAGTTTTGGCACAGTGCCCTTCTGCACTTTATATAGCGATGCTTAATTGGAGCACCTTAGTTCATTTTGGCAGGGTTTTGTAAAACATCAAAGATGCCTGATTACACCTCTCATTAGATTACTTATGAGGCATTTTATCCTGCATTTACATTGAAACTTTCAGCTAAAACTCGTTTTAAAAAATATGAAAAACAAAGTTTTATTTTTTGCCAGTTTTTAATTTTTTTTTTAATTTTAGCAGACAACTTACCTGAAGCTTCATTTATTTAAAGCTTCAGAGAAGTTAGAAAGCAAATGTTAATGGAATATCTGCCTCATTAAAGCCTTTGTAGAGCTCTTGTGTGTCCATGCAGTTAGACTGAAACTCATGTGTAGTCTTCCAGTGACACCAGTCACAACCTTTGTTTAGAAATTTGTTATGATATTCTGTCTGCTTATCTATGTCAGCTTGCAGATCTGTGATAGCCATATCTCCTGTACATACCATATATACAAAGCCTTTTCCCAAGGTATTTTCTATCAGTTTAGAGAAAGCATTTTCCATTTCTAGGGGCTGGCTAAAAATATTTATCCCTTCTCAGTGCTATTTGATTACGCAAGAAGGGCAGTCAGTCTGTGGGCCTCTCTCCTGTAGGATGCACTGAAAGGAGTGTTTTACGCTCTAGGATGTACATGCTTTTGGATTTCTTTCATGCATATGACCCTCAGAGAAGCTCCCCAAAAAATGTTTCACTGGTTTCCTTTTGCACTTGACTGAAATTGTTTTTTTCTTGTCTTTCCAGCAACAAGGGGCGGCCACCACTGTATACTGCGCCACTGCTCCTGAACTGGAGAGCCTAGGAGGGATGTATTTCAACAACTGTTTCCGCTGCCTGCCTTCACAGGAAGCCCAGAGCGAGTCGACGGCTGTATCCTTGTGGGAGCTGAGCGAGCGGCTGATCCGGGAGAGAATTGGCAGGCAGTCCCTCTGAAGCGATGCGGTTGTTTGGGGGGATAAGCAAAAACGGGGAGCAAGATGGCTCAGATATAAAAAAGAAAAAAATCAGAATAAAAATAGAAGCAAGAAAAAGAAAAGCAACTTGACCCAAGACTGTACTGTAAAGTAAGCTGCCAACTCTGGATCTGCATCCAACGACATCTCCTCGTGGTTTTCATACGGCTTGTATATGGATGAAAGTGTGAAGTGAAATAGCTGCAGTCACAACACAGTGAAAATGTTAAGAGCTAATGGGAAGTAGGGAATACAGCGGGATAAAGGAGACAGTATCCGTCTTTTTCTCTTTTTTCCCCTTTTTAACTTCTATGGAGCCTACACATGGGAATTTGGAAAGCTGCATTTCCTCTCGGTTTCACTGACTGGTGTTACTGTTTGTGGGGATTTTTTTAGGTCAAATCTGTTCATTTAAAGCTGTAGACACCAGCCAAATCCCTTGATGTGGGGGGTGGGCATGCTTTGATATGTGGCTAATTGTGATTTCAACTTAATAGAGACATTCCACCCTTATAGAGCAAACCAAGGCAAGGACCACTGTCTGGGGACCAACAACATAAATCAAGCTGGTTGATCTGACAAATGTGTGTGTGTGAATAAAAATATAAATGTATGCGTGTGTGTGTAAATTTTCTTCACCTATTATTCTGTATAATAGCAGTAGAAAGTTCAGTTAAGGTGGGTGTATGCTATTTTAAATATAACATGCCACTTAAGACTAGATCTTGGGAAGGTTTATAGTTAACCTTTTTTTACATAAAATAACTAAGCATTCCATGTAATTTATATATGTATGTACACATTCTCTCTCTGATCTTTTTAACCTTATATACATATATACACATAGTATTTACAAATTTGAGAGGTTTGATCCATAAGGGCATCAAATAATCCAGAGGAAATTTTGAAAAATGTAATCTTCTACAGACGCCTGATTCTTTCTATTTTCAGTTTTGGGCTCTAAATACATCTCCATTATATTTTGCAGGTGTAGGAAATCATATCTAATGTAAGTGGGTACTGAACACTGGGGAAGAAGACTGATTTTGTCTTCTTCTACTTCCAACACTTGAACTGGCCGAAGTGTTAGTTACTTTTTCCTTAAAATATAAAATAAAATCAGTCAGCTGGGTTTCATTCAGTGGTTTTTCCAAAAATCAAAAAAATGATAATGATAAAAAAAAAGACTTTTTTTTTAAATGTCTGTAATGATTATTGCGGGCCAAAGTGTAAAGTACTGTTGCCACAGCAGTACTCACAGGATGTCCAGGGAGTTGGAGCATCTTTCTTTTCTTTCATCTTTAAACATTTCCATCCACCGAGGCGTAGAGGAACTTGTTGGATTTTAACATTTTGTATCATATTCAAACATGCTTATTTTTTACCTTAAGAGAAAACAGTCTCTCTCTTTGATTTTATTGTTGGAGTTGTCTTTATGTTGCTTCTTTTGTTTCTAAAGAGACAGCTGAAAAAGAAAAGATCTGCAGTGTAGGAAGAGGCTCCGAAGAATGTTGCTGTGATAATGTTGTCTTTCTTTGTTTCTTCTTTAGTGATTTTATTTTTAAACGTTGTGCTTTGTGTCAGTCGTCATGCCACAGGTCATTCTAAGCCATCAGCATTCCATTATCATGTTTTCTGTAAAAAAAAAAATTAAAGAATTATTCATAATATCCTTTTCTTTTCTTATTTTGCAATAATAAAGACCTTGGAAAAAAATGCATTAGTCACAGTCACACTATAAAAATTCACTATATTGAGATAAAAACAGATCATAGAAAGTTTTATGTAATAATACTATTAAATATGAAACTTTAGTAATGATATGGAACTAATGCATAATCCATAACACCTTTTCTTTACTGTACTATATGTAAAAAATCCAGAAATATTTATGATTTTTTGCTTTCGTTAAAATCATTTTATGTCTAGTGAGAAAGTATGTCTTCAGAGTGTTTATTAAAGGTTTGTGTCTTTTTCACATACGCGCAAAAACAAATACAGAAACAGTCTCATTGATTTAGTTAGCATACGAATCAACAGCTAAAACAGCAAAATAAGCCATCATATGAGGGCCATCGTTACTTTATTAATTTAATAGTTACACTCACTATCATGTAGTATTATCATTAAACAAAACATTTTGGGGAGACTTTATATATATATGTTATACATATCACATATATTAATTCATATCATTATTCAAAGTATTTATTTTATATTAAGACGTTAACTAAATTGATTAATGGTTCTTGAACAAGCAACAAAAATATCAAATAAAACTAAAGCACACAACATGATATAAACTTCCTAGAATTCCAGAAAGCTTTTAGTAAGGTTTTTCATAAAAGTTGTTTCTCAAATTAAAAGCTGAAGAAGTCCAAGGTGAGGAATGTGCATGCATGAAGAACAGTACACAGGGCATCATCACAGTTTCTAATGTTGCAGATGTAAGCTGTTGTATCCCAGGGATCCACTTTTGGGTATTTTGTTGTTCTTGATCTATATGAACAATCTAGATTCTAATATAATTAGCAAACAAGTTAATGTGCAGATGCTAAAAAAATAAAGGGAGTGTCAAACAGAAATAATAACAATGAAATTACAAAAAAGTGATCCACACTGGCAGCAGAAATATACACCGACCATACTGCATTGGTGAGCTACTCGAGGAAGGGATCTGTCTGTATGTTTATATAGATCTCCATTATCCTCATTATCCATTATCCTCATCAAGACAATGTGGAGAAGTAATAGTATTAAAAAAACAATGTTTGAGTATACAGCAAAAAGTTTAGAATTGAATGGAAGATAGACTTAAGCTTTACAATGTTATGCTGACCATACCACAAAACTTATTATATTATAAGGTCAAACCAAGGTACAGTAATAACTCAATACTCTGTAGCTAACCAAAGAGTCACAATTACAAACTAGTCCATTTAGGAGTGAGAAACGGAAATACGTCTTTACACAAAGAGTTGTTGGAAACTGGAACTGACTTTCCAGGCAGATAGTTGAAACCCAAACCCATTTATATTTAAAATCCTTTTTTTTTATATTTAAAAAAAAAATGACTGGATGAAATGTTAGTTTCACTTAGCAACTTCTACAGTTGTACAGAAGTGAAATAACAATAGATTCCCATTACAAAGGTAATTATATATTTTCCTTTATAAATGCAATGAATTTTGTGTGATTTCTTGAACAACCAATAAAATGAAACTCCTTGTTCAAATATTCACTGGCTAGTACACATACAGTAGGATGCTGTAATTAAAAGTAGACAGCTGCTTGGGGGAAGAATTATGCTGTTCAACAATAATACCAGATGAGATGATGATAACAACACTGTGACGTCTGCAACATCAAATGAAAATGTATGTAATAAAATGACAAATCTATTAGGCATTTTGCAATACAGTGTAATATGTCGTTGTACTACTACTGCAGGTAATCTGCTTCTACAAGGCAGGTGTAAAGAGTTAGGTAAATCAGTAAGAAAATGAAAACATACTAATGCCATCAATCCGCACTGAATGGCAGAGTGTATTTTCCCTGGTAATCTTACGCATCATTAAAACAAGCCTGGATTTCTGATCCTCTGGGCTCTGCCTCTTCAGCAGCTCTGATATATTGAGCTTGCTCTTGGGTGATAATTATTTCACTGTCCCCTCCCACACTTTCCCATCTAATCTCATCTTTTAAAGTGCAGTGTTTTAGGAGGGCTAGTCTGCTCTGACCCCGCTGCCACTGAGACACTGTAAATTGGCGTCTCGGTTACCTAAGTTGTATGGTCTTGTTCATCCATTGTGCCCTCATTTAATGTGCCGCTATGATTTAAAATGATATTTTGACAAAGGGCCTGCATCTTTAAAAGCAGAGATGACAGAGTGCTGCAGTCGTCATCCTGTCGTTTAGCCGGAGTGGAGCATGTGGCTTTTTTGTTTCTGCCTGGAGATAAAGCATCACCTTTTCATGATACCACACATCTTTCCAACTAACTGCAGAGATCAACTCTGACAGATTTACTTTTAAAAAAAGATAGTAGATGGTTAAATGCATGAAGCAAACAGCCCCTTTTTAATCACAATTATGCCATTTTAAGCCCTGTGTGTTTTGTCAGGGTTTAGACAGAAAGTACTGTGGCTGGGAATACTTGCTAAGGTAGTTAATAATTTTTTATGGCTTCTGACTCTGGGTCACTTAATTTTCTTAAATACCACATTTGATATTGTCAATGGCAATATGCTGCTGGATCATATGGGAAGTGATCTAGGGATCAGATGTACTTCCTTATGTAATTTGGCCCCTATTTGACTACCAGGACCGAATGCATAAATCCTAGCTGTTTAAATCCTGATGTTGCCGTCTTACTGAGGGTGTTCAACAGGGTTACTAATTAATATTTACATGTTCTTCTTGGTCAGATTATTTGCCCATCATGGAGATGAATTTCATTGCTACGCTGCTGAAACTTAGATTTGCTTCCATAACAAAACAACCACTTCTACTGCATTTGCTGTACTTTACAGATGTGTGTTTTTCATTGTTTGAGGCAATAGAACTTTCTTAAGTTAAACTGTGACAAGTCTGAGGTTATGCTCATGGCTCCAAACACCACCTTTGCAAAGCTGGTGTATTTGTCGAAACCAACAAAACCAAAGGAAGTTAGAAACCTTGGGTTACATTTAACACCATGCTATTTGAAATTGACATTAGGATTATCACAAGGTTATCTTCCACCTGTATAGCATAACTTGTTTAAGACCCTTGCTTTCCCTGTCTGATGTTGAAATATTGATACAGTATGTGTTAATTTATTCCATATATTTTCACAATTAGACCTTACCTGAGGTAAGGTATTATGTAACAGATACATTGTTTAATGTCCTAGCTCCATTAGAAATGAAGCAGCACTAGGCTAGGAAAATTGCCCTTTAACTTATACGTGTTTTGAATGGATGTCTGGTGAGAGTGCCAAACACACAGTTGAATAGCACTAAAGCAAGACCAGGCCTAGCCTAATTTCTTTTAAACAGCACAGACTCTGGTATTACTCTGTTTAACATTATTTGTATCCCTGCAAGATTTTATCTGCTAGCATGAAAGCTGAATTGTTTGCATGTGTACTGATAGCTTCATGCATGTTTAGCTGGTTATTGCATGTAAACTGTACAAAGGGAGATAAAGCTTGGTTAAAGTATATTGATATAATAATGAACTGTAAACCCTAGCACACCTTGTCTCATTATTCATTTAATAAATGCCTGCTTTAAATAGCTGCACCTACAAAATGTACTTATATTTTTATATGTCCATGTCAGGACAGGAAATTGTAATTTACAACTCAGCATTTAATTGGCAGTTCATCCCAATCTGTTTTTTATATCATAACATGTTTATAATGCACTAATAACAACAAAATAACAACAATAATAATCTAAAATTTAAGTTCCACATATAACCAATGTAATGTAATTTTAAAAGCTTGTTTACAAAGCCATGTTTTAATATAAAAAGTGATGGATGCAGCATCTGTTTTGTGGTGAAGCATTCCCAAGCTGCAGTTTAATGATGGCAACACAAACCACATTGACTTTAATTGGCGCTGGGTGGGAATTCAGTCCTTTGCCTAATGTTCTTAAACTACAAATTTACATTTAGTTCAACTGAAAAATGCAATGAGTTTTTTGGGCAGCTCCCTGCTAACGTGGTCTGGATCCCCTTTCCACCCCCCAAATTAGCTCCATCCCTCAGCAGGGGAATGTCTCTGCAAGCATAGCTGCAGTAAAAGTGTCAGGCAGTAATGGATGCCCTGGTGATAGAGAGCTCTGGTTGTTATTTGCTGGATATTGAGGGAGGGTAGCTAATGATGTGCAGCGTGTAAACCTGTTGTGGCTCTAATCCATCTGTGTGGAGGGGCTGGGGGGAGGAGGGGGAGGTGAGATCCGGGGAAAATGATTTGGACAAGTGGAGATAAAGTGAGAGTGCTGATGGAGTCATTCAGGAGGATATGTCAGTGGCAGCATTGTTTGCAAATAGCATGACTGGCAATATAAAATATCCAGGTCCCATGATCAAGTGAGGTTGGAATTTCAATGTGCCATATGCTTCTTTATTTTCACATCTCTATCAGTCACCAAAAATCATTAAAGTTTAAAGCTGAAGTGTGACATCTATATCTGTCTGTCTATCTCTGTATCTTCAGTAAAGAGTGCTTATGTAGGATGTAGGAGATACATGGTAACACAGGGGGGTCACGGGTTCAAAACGCACTTCCAAGGCAATTTCGTTTGACAGCTGTGCCATTGCAGGCTAATAAGACAGTGTACTGTTACGTTTTGCATTATATGGTATACATCTGACAAGCTGATCTTCCGAGTGGCATTACTATAGAATCACTACAAAGAATGAGATTTTTACCATCTTTCTAACTTACATATATTTATTAAAAAATGTAAGTATTCATGGCATTCTGGGAAAATGCTCGTAGCCTCTTAATGTTCCGCTTGTTTTGTATGTTTTAGAAAGAATCTGCTGCCCTTTGTAAGTACAAGTGTGTGACCTTACATTTCATTAAATGGACTGGAAGCAGTAATATGTGAAAAGGACTGAAAGGTTTATTAAAGTTTATT